GGATTATATGATTATGCCATGGTCAAGGAAGGCTTCAGTCAGCTTGTGTCCCTGAAAGCGGTCACGGATGTTCCCTTGGCTACTCATTGTGGAGTTGAAGTTCGGCTCAAAGGTGTACCCCAGAAATGGTGGCATCGTTCGCTCTCACTCGTCGCGTCCCTCCCTCGCTATGACAAGCCCAAGGTGGAAGCCTCCAGCAGCAGCAGGCGCACGCTCATAGGCAGATATCGCAAGTTCGTGGCTATGCAATTGGATTGGGAACAGCAGGTTACCATTCTCAGGCGTATCGGCTCTTTGAGTGATACCATTCTAGCAGGCCTCAGTGAAGATTATTTTGGGAAGTTCGCAACTTCTGAGCGCTCAGAGTGGCAAGATATGATGGAGTTGCTTCGTGGGGTTTCGGAGGCGCACTGGCGAGCTGCATTCGAGCACCAGGCCGATCTCGGTGCTCAAGCTGATCCATCTTCGCACCCACAGTCGGATCTGGACCCAGGTATGCGACAACTCATCAGCAGAACACCAGAGTTCCAGTGTTACCCGTACACAGACATTCCCTTCGGCGTCAGCGATGGGGCGCTGCAGGACATCCTCAGCCAGAAGAGCCAAGCTGCTTCTCAGATGGATGGGTCAGTTTCTCCCAACGGATGCGACTCAGCTAGGGCTTCGGTCAGAGTGGCGACCAACCTCGACTGCGAGATCGACCCGTTCGACCAGATCGAGGAGCAGCACTACAGCCAGGACGACTCCGGCGTTCCATCTCCCCCACGCTTATGCAGGATGCCTTCGGAAAACTCACGTTCAGAACGCCTCCATCCAGAAGCAGATGGAGAACCACTTGCAGCTGAGGGGCACCAGTATCCTCGGCCAACGTCCATGGATTTCATGGATCGAATTTACAATCTCACTGACAATTTGGCGACGCGTGCGCAAGCTAGAGCAGTGGGTAAAGGACAGCAGAAGTTTTAGTCATGGGTCAGACGGACTTGGATGACCCAGCCTGGCCGATTGCACAAGTACGTGAAAGATAAACCAGTGGACACCACGGAGATACAAGGGATTGCTGACCCCACGGTCACCATGCAGGCCAGGCAACAGAACTGGCAGAAGATCTGGACGGACCAGGTCGACACCATGGACGACATCATCCACGGCTTGACGGAGTGCCACAAGCAGGCGCTAGAGGAGGATCCCCCTCCCATCACCCTTCAGGAGCTCGACGTCGCTTCGGCAAAGATGTCGGCGAAGAAAGCGAAGGGTGTTGATAACATCAGCGTCAATGACGTGGCCAGGCTTCCAGTTGTGGGCAGGCAGAAGTTCGTCGACTTTCTGAATGACGTGGAAAGTGCAGGCACGTGGCCACTGCAAATACACGCGACCATAGGAGCGTTGGCAGCCAAAACTAGAGGAGGAGATCGAGCGCTAGGTCTCTTGCCGACGACGGGCAAAATATGGAGCCAAGCCAGAACGGGGCCGGCGCGTTCTGGGATACTGCACTCCAGGGCTCCTCTGCCCTTCGGGCATCCATAGTTCGCCCCCTCATGGACGAGGTTGGCTTTGTCAACGGCAAGCACTTTGTCACACTGCTTTTGGATCTGGAAAAGTTTTATGACAGTGTATCGTTGTGCAGACTTATGGCCACGGCAGTGAAGGTCGGGTATCCCGCCATCATCGTCATGTTAGAAGTAGAGATGTGCATCGCTCCGCGTTTTCTGAAGCTAAAGGATTGGGTCAGTGACATCATAGAGGTGTCGCGCTCGCTCGTGGCAGGCAGTCCCAAAGGGGTCCAGTTAGCGAAGGTCTTTCTGCATCCAATTTTGGAAAAGGTGCACAAAGTGGCTCCAGAGCCGATGTTGGCAACTTACATAGATGACGCGGTTGCGAGAGCTGAAGACGATGATCCACAGCGGGTTCGTCGAATCATGTCCAGGACAAACCAGGAGTTCAAGGAAGCGTTTGAAGAAGCAAGGTTAGTGGTCTCAGACAAGACGGATCTCATCGCGTCGTCGAAGAAGCTGGGCCAGCAGTGCGCTCGTGAGCTTCGTGGCATTGGCATCCCTGTTAGTTATAAGGTCTCAGCTACAGACTTAGGCATTGACGCCAGCGCGGGCAGATCCAGAGTTTGCAAGAAGGCGAACCAGGGGAAGAGAGCAGCTGACCGACGACACCGACTACGACGTCTGGGGCCGAAGGTCAGAAAGGCATGTAAAAGTTTGTGGGCCGCTGGCGTCCAGCCTCAAGGTACGCATGGGCATCAGGTCTTTGGCCCCCCCCCCAGTCGCCCCCTCCACGTTAGACGACAAGCTAGTTCGGCGATTGCTGGCATTAAAAGGGGAAGATGCTTAACTTCGGTTCTCGAGGCTACCATGGGCAGCAAGGATCCAGGTTTGGAGTTACCCAAGCAGTTGGTATGGGAATGGCTCACCGCGTGGCTCAGCAGGCCCGGTATACATCTGCAAGTCAAAAGATCGTGGACAGCTATTCTACATCATATTCAGGTTGCTGGCAAAGTTCGCTGGCGACGCGTACGCGGACCAGTCTCGGCGGCCATCGCCACTCTGCTTGAAGGTGGGTGGAAATGTCCATCGCCGCAGATCTGGTCGCACAATGCTGAAGATGGTGAAGTTGAATGGCGTTTCCCTGAGGCTACCTCTCCAGAGTTTGCTCAGGTGGACATAGAAGAGATTGTTGACGAGTTCGTTCAAGGCCTCCGTCTTTTGCAGTGGGCATCCAAGTGCGAAGGCGCTGATGATCTTCAATATGGTGCAGATATGTCTCAAATTTCCAGAGAGCTCCACAAGTTCGAGCGCAAAGCTGATTTTGAGAACTGGGGCCTGAATCTTACTACGATATCAGGTGGCCAGCGGACACGAGAGCGTCAACGAACACAAGGCTATTCGACGTCAGTGATTCGCAGGCGCTGCACGCTGCAGGCGCCCGAGACTTTGCTCCACAGGATCTGGCAGTGCCCTGCCAATTGTGGAGATGCAGCGTTTGAGAAAAGTGATCATCTCATCACCCGCGCCCTGGCTAATTATCAGATGGAGCCCAGCTTATGGCTTAGAGGGGTCACCCCAGAAAAGCAAACGGCGCCCTCGTTTTCGGAGGAGTTGTGCGTTGGCCAAGGATTGCTTCTCATGGGGGGGCCCTGGGCCGCGGTGCGAGACCCATCCTCAGATTATCCTGCGACTGTGTTTTGGGACGGTTCGGGAGGCCAGTTTTCGAGCGATCCTCGCAGAAGGAGATTCGGTGCGGGGACTGCCATGTTGGATCCACCACCTGAAGCCCCGCTCGAGCGGTCCGTGATATGGGGAGCTTCTGCCCCACTAATTGGCCCCAAGCAGACCGTTCCCCGTGCTGAACTATTAGCGTTCTGTCTTGCTGATTTACATAACGGATCACCTCCCGTTGCTCCGAGCTTGGGAGAATGGTCGCGGCTGGCGTGCGCCCGAGAAGGAGACAAATCGTGATTTATGGATGGGGACCCGCACCGCTGTGTCCAGCCGTGGCTCTCTGATCCAAGTGTTTTGGACTGCCTCTCACCTTGAGGACGAGGTGGGAGGTATCCAGACTGCCCAGCAGGCGTTCTGGTCTAGTGGCAACGCGGCGGCGGACAAGTTTGCGTCGGATGCTTCCGCTAGAGGTTTTCAGTTAGCCACCGCTCAAGGTCAGTTGCCTCGCACCGACGAGGTGGATGTGATTGCGTGGCTGGTTCGGCGGCGATCTCGCGCTGCGCTCAAGCTTGTGGCTGAGTGCGACCCGTGGGAGGGAGAGTGGCTTCCTGCCGCCCCTGCCCCCCGTGCTCGCATTTCTCGCCGCAACCGTGCCCTCGCGTCGTCGTCTCACAGGTTCGTTCGAGCAGGTGCGAGATGGAGGTGCACGAGCTGCCTCGATATCACCACCGCGGTGGGCTTGGAGGCGGCCTGCGCTAGGCCGTGCGGCCCGCCGCCCTCCGCCTCCTCCTCCTCCACCACGCCCAATTTTGCGGGCGCCCAGGTCCATCGGTTGGGTAGGGAGGTTTGGGTGGGAGGGCGTCTCGTTCACGAGTCCCATCAGATGTGGGCTTGGGATCAGCAGTCTGTGAAATATTGTACGCATTGTGGGTTATGCGGGACGGTCGACGGTTGGCACCTTGAGAGACCGTGCCCCCCGAAGAGGTCCAAGAAAGGACAGCAGAACCTCGTTCATATTGCCAAAGGCCGACATCCTTGCCCACAAGGGGCGCCCAAGTCGGTCCCAGCACTGTAGTTTCTGTGATGCTGGGGTGAGGACCCCAGTGGGCTGAGGCGTTGGTCTCGGCTGTGGCGGATTGGGACTGGGTCCCCCTCGATTACTCCTCGGTCACACCCCCCCCTCCAGGAGGAGGAGGGATCAAAGGGAAGGGGTTTCCCTCCGAACCAATCACGGCTTCCCTCCGAGTCAGTTACGACTCTGCTCAACTTCGCTTTGGCTGGCGCGCTGGAGCAGGAGGGTTCAGGGAAGGGGGGGGGAGGCGACGGGCCCAGCGCTTGAGGAGGAGGGCCCGGGGGGCAGGGGAGCGGCGACGGGCCCAGGGCATAGTTGGCATAGGCGGGCATAGTTGGCCTAGGTAGGGTGGGTGGGCAGCCGGGTTTTTCCACCCCCGCATTGTTGACCTCTTGCTGCCTTGCTCGCGCGCTGCACGGCACGCGCGTGGGACACCGCAGCCGCGTGGCCCAGAAGAGGACCTAGAGTCCGAAACGCGTCGCCGGCTAAAAGTGGTTGAGATCGGTAATACACCAAGGGGGAGCGCAGGGAAAGGGGACGACAGAGACGACGACGAAATAATGACGGAGACGACGACTCGAACGGACAAGCCCCTCACAGACGCCGACGGGGTCGGCGGATTTGCAGCAGCTGCATCATCAGCATCATCGTCGCGACCATCATCAGCGGCATCACCATCGCGAGCAGCATCAGCACCGTCTCCATCACCGTCCCCTCCCGGGCTCCTCCGTCAGCACCGTGCTCCTCCGCGGGTGGAG